CAGGAAAACAAAGTTCTACAGGAATCATAAACAAGTAAGAAAATTATGTTCGATCGTGACCGAATCTTTTATACCTATCACCGTGATCATGAACAAAAAAAAAAAAAAAAGAAAAGAAAAACAACTAAGTTTTCATACTCTATAATATTGGGTGGGCATGGCAGATGTGTGCTAGTTTCCGAATAAATGGGGAAATTTACTTAGTGTACATGTTGTACTTTATAAGTAGCAAGGAACAAACACGAAAGGCAAAAAGAGTCCATAGTTTTTGTTATATAACCGTGTGGGAGTGTTGTAGGCGAGTTCTTTGAAAAGTTTAAGTCCTTTTCGAATTCTCTTGCAAGTTTATAGATATTAAAGTCATTTTTGCGAATAGCAAAATGTTTACAATAGACATTACAGGGAGGGACAGCCAGACGGACATACTTCAATCGATTTAGAACTTGATGCTGACCAAGAAGATCCTTCTATGCGTTGCATACGTTTTGACACAATTAATATATCTCTTATCGTTCAGTGATAGTTATAAAAAAGCAGCATGTTAGATATGAAGCTCTTATCAGTGATGCTTGCATTTCAAACGTTTTTGAATGACCGTGGGCAAACCATACCACCAAAACTATATCGTTACTATGACTGATAGATAATTAGGATCAGGAGATATTTCAAGAACTAGTTTCTTTCCCAATGCGTTCCCAGCTAAATATTGTAATATGCCAAAATATCGGCTAAATATTTAGACAAAGACTGAAAGTGAAGTCCATTAATAAAGGGATATGGTTCACAAGGTCCTCTAAAAATTCCGATCTATTTCAGTTGAGCAATAGCTTTAAAATTTTTATCTCTATGTAATAGGTTTTTAACGGATTTTACGATTCGCATATCAAAGTGAATAATATTTTTTTCATTTGTTATAAGTGAAAGATTGAAATGAATGTGAATATGAAACGAATATTTATGTAACGGCTTTACATCGGATGAATAAAGCAAAGAGGAAGATGATACAACCGTTAATTGCGCACACCGTCTCGCATAACCACATTTACACATGTATAAATACAATTCTAAGAGGGTGTGTTGGTATAGTTACATTCATATTTTTTTTTAAAAGCCACCCCTTCCAAACTATAATTGCACGAGAACACACATATAAAATAAAAAAAATAAAAAAAATTTTAACTTTAGTGAAACTTGTATTGATTTATGAGCCAAAAAAAGATCCTTCCTGTATAACTACAATTGTTTAATATTAGAAGCCTAACGAAAGCTACAAAAGTAATATGCATCTGTACATCATGACACGGCAATTTTTCAATATTTATGCCCATTAGCGGAGGATTCATTTTGTAAAAACGTTTGCCCAGAAGAAAACCTCAAAGACCCCATAAAGTGTATTCTATATTGATCTGCATCAAATTTTGAATCGATTTAAGCATTTCCGACTGTCCGCTTAGGTAATGTGTTTTGTAAGCATTATCCTGGCCGCAAAAGGCATGCCCATATTATGGAACGTTGAATAAGCGCGATGCCTATTGAATTCGGAATCCTATATAGAAGGCAATTATATTCTCAGAGTAATCATTAGCCGTAATGTCCATCCTTGCCTGATGCGATCTAATTATTTCCACAACAAAATGAAATGAAGAATAAAATATCTATGACATATGATTCCACCAGATGTGGACAACATATGACATAACCTGCTCGAGTTGACTTGCAACACTAATGAAACACTAAACGGATTGACAAGACATAGTCAGGTAATTAACTTGCATACAAATTTGGGTTTGCTTACAAAAAGGAAATGAAAAGCTGCCTTAACTCTGCCTATACTCAGATTGTTGTGAAAAATAAATGTTATAGTGATTGTGGTTCCGATTGTTGTCATTAACGATTTCTATGTATATATATATATATATATATATATGCGGTTTCGTTACTTTCGTAGGTGCACAACAATTATCAAACAGCAGATAATGAAACACGAGCATAAGGCATTTTGTCAAGCGATAAACAAGTGAAACGTTTTTAATTAAAATTTGGTGTAGAAACGCCGTTAAATTTATGCTTTCGCTGGGTTAATGTTTGTTTTTCTAATCGGACAAAAAAATTTCTCATACACTAACCACTACATATTTGTCCACGTCAACCGCTGTAAAATGAATTGAAAAACAAATTAGCACGCCCACCACGACAAGCATTGTAAACCTAAAAAGAATTTTTTTTTTTTTTTTTTTTTTTGATAAGCCAAACTTTTCAAAGGTAAAGGATACAACATAGGTTCTCATAAGTTTAAGTTCTTTTCTCTTTTCTTTTAGTCTAAGAGCTATCCCAACAACCTATTACACACTGCGCTCTTCTCTATGTGGGCTTGAAGAATAAGTTAGAGCTTCATACGCCTGCAATTTAGAACTCTTTGCAACTTCATTATATATACATGAAATTAGATTAACTTCTGCAAAAGTAAAAAAAAAGGTGGCTATACTCACTACACAGTATGTGCTAAGAACAATTCTTCCAGACATTTGAAATACGCTCTGTAGGATACGCTTTGCTAATAGAACAGCGCAAAGCGCAGCGTCGGAGACGTATTAAATTTGCCCGACCAGTGAAAAGCCTATACTAGTTTCAGCAATCAATGGTTTACATATAAAAGTGGTAGCCTTGAAGGAACTATCCACAATAAACAAGATCGACGCGCTATCCATTGTTCTTAAATTACGTCGTAAGACCAAGCCATCCTCTTACATATAAGATATTGAATTACCTCATAAGTTCATTGCGTTCAATCCATAAAGACTGTAATGTTAACATCGTATATTATATTAATCCCAAAAATTCGACAATTTTTAGCAGTCCATATTCATTCAAATTTTTTCATTATAAATTTTTTCAATTCCCAAGGTCATTTCTATAAGATTCTTTGGAATTTGATTTTTCCATTAAAGTGCAAAATTACTATAATTAAACTACATTAACGAAAAAACCAATCCAATTACTAAATAAATATTATGTAAATGCTATTTGCAGATATTTTTCGATAAATTTTCCAATTTCTCGCTGGTCAGTTGTCCTTAATTTTCCACACAGTTTCAATTCAACTTTAATTGCGTGTATTTCCTGCAAACTTTACTTTCTTTTAAAAAAATTATATTTATTATTATAACATATTAAGCCCTATTTTCACATTAATTTCATTTCAAATAAATAAATTGCCAACGAATCAATTATTTCCATAAAATTTTCTACCAACTACGACACTGTACAGCGAAAAAAGTCCTTAAAAGCACGTAACAACCCCGTGATAAAAAGAAACAATAAAAAAAAAAAGGAAAAAAAACAAAATTCAACAACATAACAATCAATTTTGCTTTTGTAACAGCAGTTGCTTATTGTCAATGGGAGTTAATTATCCCACTGGCACCTCACCCCACCCTCGCACGCATTGGTAAGAAAATGACCAAAATTTGCAAGGAATACGCACACATAATTACTATGAACCAGAAACCAATCGGAAAATTTCACTTACCCCTAATTCTGAAAAACTTCTAGGCAGGATTTCGTGGGATTTTTGTTCAAGAAAAAAATTTTCTTTAATAAAATGTATTTATATTTTAGACACCTTTAAAAGGAACGTTTTATTTTATACCACAATAATTTCACTGTTTAACAGGTAAACCAAATATTACTTAGGTAATTGAAAAATTGGAAAATTTATTTTTCTTGAAAGCACAACATACCTAACAAAACACTGCAAAGAGCAAACACAAACAACACTTTTTCTTCTATTAGTTTATTAAGAAAACTTCCCAAAGATTTCTATTAATACTTTTGTTTTTGATATTATACACAACGCACATTTATTTCTTGTAGAAAAAATCCTAGTATTTTAATGAAAAGTTTCCTTTTTTTCGCTATATATATAATATAGATTTTCCGCCACCGCGCAAAATTGCTTGTTTTCGTGAAATAAGTAAGAGTAAGAATGTCTTTTTGAGAGTAAAATTTATGGAAGTATTTTTGAGAAACCTTTGTCAATAATTTTAAAAAAGTAGTTACAAATGTCAAATTGACAGCCAAAAGTTTTGCGCAGACTTCCCACATTACGGGTTTTATTCTTGCGTTTCATAATGCAGTATTCAATAGTGATATTAATTGCTGTTTGCAGTTTTTTTTTCAATTTTTTTTGTAACATTTCGTATTGGATATTGGGAAATTTTCAAAAAGTCAGCTGATTGAGTCCATTCGGCCTAGTTTTCGTTTTTGATTGATTGAATAAATCCATTTGCCGATTTTTACTCTAATAATTTAAAAACTGTACAACAGAATGAGTTCCGCATTAAAATAATATGACAAAAAAAGCAAGGGCTGTTTCTGTATTTTTTCACTCTAGTTTTCTTAAGCGTCCTTTGCAACGTGAGTTTGATAGATATGATCTAGTCGATTTAGAATTTCAAACAGATTTAGAAAGATTGCACTTTATGGGATCTTTTTGATTAGTAAACGCAGGGATAAAATGTGAAGATATTTTCTACACTGTACGCAACAATCGGTAACAGTTTTAAAGTATATATCTGAAGTCCAAAAATTGCCTGAATTTTTCGGAGTATATGATTGAGTTTAATCGATTAATACAGTTCTGACAATGTATCCTTCTGCATTACGTTCAAGTTGCGGAGTGTAAAAATCCATTTATAATATATATACATAATGCCAAATAATACAATAAATACAATAAATAATAGAGCTTGCAATACGCTATTCATGTAACAAGTATTCCCTAGATTAACCAAACCAACTTTGACGTTTGTATGCTAAGTAAACGATTCACCATCGAAATCCAACTTAGCAGCGTGTAAAACAGAGCTGTTTGAAACACATAGATAATTTTGAATTTTTTAATCTTTAACATTCCTGTTTTTTACGGAAATACGATATTTCTGAGCAATTAATCATTTGTTTACGAAAGAACGTGGATATATTAGCAGCGATATATGCTAAAAGCTAAATATTTTGAGAATAAGTAACTAATATGGATTTAAATAGTGAAGAAAGTATAGAAAATTATGAGGAGATAGAAAGCAGTGTAGTACTTTTGCAAAAATGTGGAGAAATTTTCTGTGATACATTAGCGGACCCAGAAGTCTGTGTGGGCTTTCAGTGCTTATTTTGTCGAAAGACTTTTATGAATCTGAATGCATTCCTAAAGCATTTACAAAGTGAGCACTATAAACCGCCAACACCTACTGAAGAAATTTCGCCGGCAAGTGATGAAGAATCCCAAGAGGACTGTAAGATGGAAGAAGTTTTCTTTACCACTGAAGACAGTAATGGCAATTGTGAAGTAGAAGATACAACATTATTTAAACTAGAAAAAGACGAAACTGAAATAGATATAGATGTTACACCCAAAAAGGAATTATCACCTGGCGAAGAAAAAAAGCGCAAAATAAGGTCGAAGCCACTTAAAACGAATCAAAAACGCCGAGAATATACCTGCCACCATTGTCAAAAAGTGTTCAAAAAAAAGTGGAATTTACAACAACACTTACCTACACACGAAGGTCATGAAAAACCTTATAAATGCGAACTCTGCCCGGCTTCCTATGCCTGCAAACAAAACCTTGTAGTTCATGTGAGACGACACAAAGGAGAAAAGCCTTTTACGTGCCATTTTTGTACGAGCAGCTTTGCTTCTACAAGCGAACGATATACTCACGAACGCTGTCACACCGGTGAACGGCCATACGTATGCGAATTCTGCGGCATGGGGCATACCACGTCATCACACTTAAACAACCATCGTCGCACACAACACTTGGATGAACGAAATTTTGTTTGTGACATATGCGATAAACGATTTAGTAGACCTGCCCAATTGAGAATGCATCACACATATATACACACAGATATGCCGCGTAGTCATGTCTGTACGATTTGTAAAGCAGCTTTTAAAGGAAAAACTACATTAAAAGCACATCTTAAAATTCATAAGGAAAAAACCTATAAATGTTCAGAGTGTGGTAAAAAATTCGCCCAACATTCCGGTTTATATAATCATCGAAAAACCCATAAAAAACAGACAGATACTTTGCTAGAAGATATACTAAAGCAAGAATCTTTGAAAGGAAACAATGCGGATTGTTATGAGGATATCTGGAGCGTGGATACGAAAGAATTCCTTTTCGAAAACACTTGCGAAACAAATACTGTAAATCATATTGAATAAAATAATAAAAAACTGTGTAAAGAACAGATAAAAAGAATGTACCTTATCACTGACATGTTTTGCAAAATGAAATCCCTATTACCAAACAATAAAAATATAGAAATTCCAATTTCTATCTACTAAATCTAATGATTTACAAGCTATTGATTGGTGCGGTGTATATTGAAAATTAACGAATATCATACATTGATCAGGTGAAGTCCATCAAATACTTGCGGAGAAGTTCTAGAAATTTAGTAGCCGATCAAGATAAAACATCTTCGATTACCATCGTGATCCCCATTATAGTTGGTGCCAGCAAGTTAGAATTAAGTAGATAACTTTCTATTCGCAACACCCTGGCATATGCATCAACAACCTTTTAAGATATATATATGTATGATTAGTGTTGGGCACTGACTTGATTTAATATTGTTGGTGTGGGTATCAGGTATTTTCGAAATGCTCAGTCACAAAAATGAAGATGAAAGCCCAAAAGTAGGCGTGATTCTTCGCGCAGCAGCCAAAAGATGCAGTTGTTGGTCTGAAAGTAAACCTATCGTGAATCGCCTCGACAAACATACAAAACATACAAAAGCAGTGTAAAAATCGGCGAGATCAACCAATTGGCATATTTATTGAAGTATTTAGGATTTTTTTTTGTTTGCATTGGTTTCAGGTGTTGAGGTGGGAGGTGGGAAAGATTCTCCTCAAGGCGTATTTAACTTCCTTACTTATTTAATCTTTGTTTTAATCTAAACTAATCTTCTTTAAGAATAATCATATGTCCCAAAACGATTGATAACGTATTGTTGAGTGTGATTAAGAAGAAATAATTTAACTTTTGTGCAAAAATTGTGAAAAAAGTTAGCATTCATGTTTTATTCCAAATATGGACGAATTTGACGGACGGGCAGCATCCTTTTTAAATCTCAAATTTATTTAGAATACGATAGTTAACTTAAAAAGGAAAAAAGGAACGGATTATCAACAGTTTTCTATTTTTAAACTTCTTATTTCCATATATCTTTCAGAAAAGTATCTCTCTGTTTTTTATGAGTCCTTCGATGGGCGTATAAGCCGCCACGTTGAGCAAACTTTTTGCCGCACTCTGAGCATTCATAAGTTTTTTCTTTATGAATTTTAAGATGGGTTTTTAAAGCGATTATCCCTTTGAACGCTGCTTCACAAATCCCGCAGACATGGGTACGCGGCACTTCGGTATGAATATTCGTGTGATGCATTCTCAATTGACTACGTCTATTGAAACGTCTATCACATATATCACAGACAAAATTTCGCTCTTTCAAATGCTGACTGCTGCGATGGCTCCTTAATCCTGACGACGTGGAAAAACTTTTACCACAAAATTCACAAACGTAAGGTCGCTCACCGGTATGACTACGTTCGTGACGGTATCGACTAGTTGTAGACGTAAAACTCCTTGTACAAAAATGGCACACAAAAGATTTTTCTCCACTATGACCTCTCATATGAACTCTAAGATTTGATTTGCATGCAAAAGAAGCTGGGCAGTGTTCACATTTATAAGGTTTCAGACCATCGTGTATATGCAAATGCTCTTTTAAATCCCAAGTTTTCTTGAATACTTTACAGCAACGAGGACAAATGTATTCTCGACGTTTACGAATAACTGCAGGAGGTTTAGAATGGGCGTCATACTTTTCTTTCTTATCTACTGATAGCTCATCGGACTTATAATCATTATCCATTTCGGTTTTATCATTTTTTGAGATACATTCTGATGAGTCAGAATCCTCACTTTTAGTTCGTACATATTGGTTAACACGCTCCTCTACTGTAAGCAAGATTTCTTCCGTTATTTCTTCTTTATCACTTTCAAAAGATAGCTCTTCTATAGGCATCGGTGAATGTTCACATTGCAAGTGTTGTAGGAATGCATATAGCTCAGTGAAAATTTTCTGGCAAAAGGTACATTGAAAACTCACATTAACGTCCGGAGTCGCTAAGGTGTCATAGAAAATCTCGCCACATTTTTGTAAAAGAACTGCGTTACTCTCTAATTCTTCACAATTTTCCATCTTTTACACGTTTGCCAAATGTACTCGAACATAAATTTTTTGTAACTGAATGTTTTAACTTTCCTCAGTTAAAATATGCACGATCTTTCGTACACAAATGGAGCAAGTTGAAAATGAAAGGAGGAGAAGAAATCCAGTGTTGCAAAAAGAGGTATAACACGACAACAGTGTTTTTAAAAATTGTGTCCCTAGAAAAATAAAATCCACCAAGAATTTAAGGAATTGATGTTAAAATTAATTTTATCTCTACTCAATTTATAAATTTTAAAGTCATATGAGCGATGACGTAAAATAAGTGGAGGAAGATTTTTTTTACAACTTCGCCAACTATTGAAATATTGATGTGCATCGCGGCTAACAAACAAATAAAAAAATTTGTGGCTTGAAGCAGACTTATAAAATTATTATTATTATTATTGATAAATGCTGGCCGAACCTTGATTAGACAATGCATTTGATGTTTCGTTTTAAGTTTGTATTAGCTTTTATAGTATGATAGAATTCTGCCAATCTTTCATAAATTAAGTTATACTGACTACCGTTTTCTTACATGTAACATATTCGTGCCAAGTCTTTTCAAAATTCAAAAATCATCTCATCCAATGATAATTAAATGGATAAAGAAACGATTGCTATCCTCTTTTAGGCTACCGCAGTATCTAAAGAATATTAATTTGAATACTTGTAAATAAGACCATATGTGCGGTGACGAGTACACGAACATTTTTTTATTGTAAACAATTATGTCAACTAAATCGGTAGGAAATTTTTTGATTCCATCCAAGACTTCTTTAAATACTTCAAATCGATTGCCGGATCCATTTAAAGGTATACCAAAAGTGCTCAAAATGTAAGAACACTATAGCTGTCGCCGACGCAGTCGCAGTGGGAATAGAAATAGAAAATGACAAGTCTACCCCTAGTTTTCTGGGCGGACGATTGTAATACTTAGAAGGAATTGAAGTAAACCCATCTTTTATTATACCGAACGACTCCGAACAATTTTTGGAATCGATTTAAGCTGGTCTGCCCACGTTTTTGGTGCTCAACCTGCAGGTGAGAATTCTCGAGATATTTTGGTGGTATTTGGTATATTGATGTGTTTTGGCCTAAGGACGAACGTTTTTTTTTTACCTTTCCCAATATAACACCTTATTTTGATGAGTCGTTACAAGAATTATAGGCCATTTGTAGAATTTCATGGCAAAAATCGCTTGGCATTAGTATTTCGGCATTCTAAATTGGTGTAGAAACTTTCGATCGGATTGGGGCAATTTATTAGACTTTTGTCGTGTAACTGCTGCTAGGAAAAGTGAATATTTTTTAATTAAAGAAACACCTAAGTTTGTAAAATTCATGATGAAAATTCGTTTATAATAATAACTTGGCCAAAAAAATTAGGTCTTACCGAATTCGAACCACGTAGTTCCATAATTTTTCGGGTATTTTAATCAAATATAAGGCTTTGTATGCTAAAGGACTAATCGTTACCACTTTATGATGAAAATATGTCAATCATAGGAAATTTGGATCACGCAGATCTATATTTGAGATCGAATCATATATAGGAGTTCTTATGGCGAGAAAGCAACTTGAAAATAATAAAACGACGTTGAAATTCGGGTATCTTCAAATATGAAAGCAAGCAAGGGGAAGACCAGCAAAATATATGAACAGCAAGAGGAAGACCAGCAAAATGTATGAGCAGCAAGAGGAAGACCAGGCTTTCATGGGAATAAATGCACAGTTTTTCATGTATTACTAATTAAGCGAAGCAGAGTAAGGTATCTAATGACCGTAGCAGTCTTACTTGTTTTGAAATTTATTATTTGGTGATAAAGCATTCGTACCGAGACTCTCTAGAACAACTTTTAAATGGTAACGATTTAGTTATATAATGGTTTAACAACGTTCGACTCAAAGATTTAATTTTTAATTTGTTAATTATTTTTCGTTTTTTTATAACGGATAGGTATATATACCTCTGTGTGTGTGTTGTTGAGTCTCACAGGCTCTCTGCGAGTTTTCTTTTCAATTTAGTAGCTCATTGTAAACTGTAATTGCAAGCGTGGAGCGTTTTCTTTGTTGTTCGGATTTTTAGTCATTTTTCATATTTTTCATTTCTTTTACGTCGATATGTCTTCATTGTCCTTAAAATGCTTTAAGAAAAAATTAATAACTGAGGGAATGCTTATTAAGATTATATAGCTTAAAAGTCAAATGTCAAATCTTGCTGGGAAATGAAGTGGGATGAAATTTGAATGCTGCAGCATATATGATAAAAAAATATTGTAAAATTGAAGAAATTAAGAAATTTTATATGAAAACATAGATTTATTAATAAAAAATATTATATATAAAGAATAATCTATATATTTTTTTCGTTCTAATAATGCATTTCGATGAAAACTCGTTTCACATTTTTCTAGTAATGAGTAGGATAATCAGCCTTATCTATAATCTGCAACTTATCTGTGTGTTCATCGATTCTCTTTCTCGTTGGTTCTGTAACTAGTAGGTCTTGTTTTAACGGTATCTTTGTTGGTTTGCAGTCATCTTTAATGACATCGTTTTTAATTTCTTCTTCTTCTCCGGGACATTTCCTTAAATTCGTCTTCTTTAATTTCTTATTCATCCTTCTATGTGACTTTAGTTTCTTCCGGAACCATTTCGCAATTTCTAGCTTTTAATTCTTAAATTATAAATTAAAAGTTGTTGAGTATAATAAATGCTGCATCATTTCCTATTTTATTATATTTCCTTGTTATATTATGCTATGACCTGTATTATATTTTGTATTATTGATCGTATACTTGAAACTTTCTTTGTAGTACACATTTATTAGTCTAATGAAAGACTTCGTATATTACGTTAATAGAAATAAATAAAAAATACACGATTTTTTCTTTTTATTTTATATGAATGTGTGCAAGCAAATCCATATGATTTCTCAATTCCCATAAAGTTTTGTAAAAAGCCGGTAAAGTTGAAGTACCAATCCAAAAATAGTAATAACGCCTAATTGTGTCAGCTCCCTAAGCTCTGAGAATGGGCATGGGATTGGTAGATAAACTCGGGGCATTGTATCGTTTTTGTCGAATTCTTAATGAGAATTTTATATAGAGCGAGATAAAAACATTACTAAAAAAAGTGTGCAAACAATGCAAACAATTTCAAATATTTCGCACGATCATTAACTAAACAATGCTTTTTATTGGTACAATATTGTAAAAAAAGTATATATATATATATACATATAAATATATAATATTAATAAAAGATTTTCTAAGAGAAAATAAATTATATGATAAAAAACGACAACCTAAGCAGAAATAAAAATTTACTAGTGTTATGGAAATAAATAGAAGTAACAGGATATTTGACCACAAAAATAACAAAAACAATATTAAAACATTACTATTTCTACTGTGTTTTTAATTTCATGCGCTTGAAATTTTTTAAAGAGAAGTAATAGCCGAATTATGAAGGATGAAACAACGTGTAAAAAAAGGGCCGACTGTACTAGGTTAAAGGCTTTTTTTTTTATTCTTGCACTATACGTTTATAATTTGTAGTTAATATAAATACATTATTGACTAATTTTTAATAGCAATTCTTATGAGCCCCGCACTTATACTACAACTTGTGACCAACAGGTAGTGTTCAGGACTTTTATATAAAAAAGAATGACAAGTGGTCATTTTCAATTAAACGGCGGTGATGGAAATGATTCAAATTCATCTTCCTCAACAGCAACAACAAATACTTTGACCACCGGTGTGACAAGAGAGAACGAAAAAATTAGAAATTTTGTATTCACCAAATCTAATAACGGCATAGAGTCAATATCGTCACTTAAGGAGCCTGTAGCTTCTACCAGCGCAAACGCAGCAAGACAAGAATCATTGGAAAAATTGGAAATACAAATACCGGAAGTAATCACAAAAATATCCAGGATGTTGTATTTATAACTTATATAATTGTTCTTTTTATTCAGTTATTGCAAAGTGGTTATTCCTTTTACACGTGGCCTTGCGCACCAGTGTTGGCTTGGTTTTTGTGGGAACGCCGTGGTGCATTAGTGGGCAAACGCATATTGGAATTGGGTGCTGGTACTGCTTTGCCAGGTATTTTAGCAGCGAAGTGCGGTGCACAAGTGATCTTAAGTGATAACTGCATACTGCCTAAATCATTGGCTCATATACAGCGCTCGTGTGAACATAACAACTTGGTGCCTGGCCGTGACATTAGGGTGATTGGACTTAGTTGGGGTCTATTGCTCAATAGCGTTTTTTCTCTGGGCCCGTTAGATATCATAATTGCAGCAGATTGTTTTTATGATCCTTCAATTTTCGAGGATATCATTGTCACTATATCATTCCTTCTCGATCGGAATCCTTCAGCCAAGTTCATTTTCACTTATCAGGAGCGTAGTGCTGATTGGTGCATTGAAGCATTGCTTAAAAAGTGGAAACTTCGTGCGATCTTAATCAATAGTGAAGACATAGGCAAAGCATCTGGAATTGAAATATCAGATATTATTGGCAATCACACCATACATTTGCTAGAAATCACAAAGGAATCTTAATACACTATTGTTGAAGCACATGAAATCTTATTGGGCATGGCGTGTATACGATTTTTGTAGACAACTTGCCGTGGACCATTGGACAAAAAAAGAAACAACTTTACTTTTGGAAATTCGGTCACGCATTTTCGTTGACCCCTGTTTTCAATAAAGAACAAATGTTTATAAAGTGGAGTGGTATGGATTCGCAAGGTTTAGTACTACAAATATGTAAAACAGTATCTGCAATCAAAATGTGCATTTTTTAATGAACGTATCTTAAGTGTTGATTCCTAACTAATAATTGTATTATCGATTACAAAAGTAAATGCGAAAGTTTTTCTTTTTATTTTGTCCTCTTTTTTATTATAACAGGTATGCAAAAAAAAAAAAATCCTATAAAAACGATGCAAAAGTATCTTTAAATATAATAGTGAGTTAACTTAGTTCACTCTCTGCAGACTATTTGAACGCATGGTACAAGTTTTACAGCATGGATGGTAACCAGAGAACTGCATCTACCAAAGACTCGTGCCACCAAGTGTACTTCCAAAAGGAAATATCTACTATATCCTTGCTTCCCAAATCCCATATCCAACATATATATCTTCATTGCTCATATATTCCTTTCAACATTGTAAACTAAATAAATTCCATTATAGAAACATTCAACAATCATTTCGGTCTCACGCTGCCTTGCGCAATCTTAGAATAATCATTAAATAAGATTGGAATAGTAAGTGTGTCAATTGAAAACGTTGAAAAATGACAGATGCTTATAAATGTTTTATTGTGGTGTTCATTTATATATATAAAAATTTTAATCTTAGCAGCTTGGTAGCCAGTTCCTTTCCATAAATGATTTCAGGTATAACGAAAAAACGGGGAAATTCGGTTTTTATTCTGAAAACAAGCCAGATCCGTATATACAACACCACCACTTAACAGCAAATACCATCTAGCAATTGCTTTCTAAGAAGCAGCCACTTCTTTAAAGACTAAAATGGTGCCGTGAACAACGAAATTTATTTTTAAATGCAATTTGTGCAAGAGACCAAAGCAAAGTAAGGAGTCAACAGGACCAGGTCCACATTCACGTGGAAAAAGAGACGACAATGTTCCGATGTTAGTACTCGTGTCAGTTTCCAATGCAATTTAAAAGCAAGGGAAAATGAAAAAGCAATTTTATAGAGTATAGTGTGAGTAGTATTTTGAAAGCGAAACCTATTGAATTTAAACTAATAGAATAGTAAAAAGCATAACACGCTATGTTGACAAAGGCTTCCAGCTAACAAAATATAATGTACGAGCAATGATCATATTTAGTAAAAAATAGACACAACGTGCTTTTGATCGCACAAATGAGTGGGCAAACGCTGTGCAATATTAGGAGATTGGGACTCAAGGCCAAAAGGAAGTTTGATTGATGTTTGCTCTATAACGTCATGCTAAGCGTAATGTAGGAATATTCCCTAAATAATTTATAATAATTAATGTCTATGTTTCGAGCCGTCATCAATAAATCTCGGACTACAAATCATTAAAAGTTCATCATTTATCAATCGTTCACATACTTCATATACTTCAATTGAGCAAAAGTTATGTAGATTCGTTCCATTTTAATTTTTATGCCAATGTAGTCCTTCTACAATTAAGAAAACGAATCTTACTCATATTCACTTATATTGGTATGAAGATCAACTTAAAAGGCATTAGAATTGAACCTGGAACATATTTATTTTAATTTAGTTACTTGTGATATTATTAAGGAGCTTTTGGGCCATTTTCGTCCTGCTCAAACGTGTCGTGTAATGAAAACAGTTGAAATCCTCCAGGTTTGTTCAATATATTTTGTAATATTCTTGATATCATCGTCAAGCATATGCTGAGTTATCTATGGAGAAACATTATCAAAACTACTTCTTTAGGAAAACAATGAAACCGGTGTTGCTTTCCGGAAATGCTTCGTTGTCCGTTGGAAACATCGTTTCAGACTTTTTTTTTAATATGTGATCATCATTAGACAGATTAACGTTATCAGCAGCTATAATCTAGGGAATATCCATAATATCATTTTAAAGGGAAGCTAACTCAGTTTTCTTGTGTATGTGGGGGCTCTACGGATCTCATCAAACTGCGTTGTGGTAATGTGACTGCCTATTACCTATGCAACTATAAAATAGACGTCAGAATTTTTAATTTTGTACATTTTTGCTTCTACTGCTACACACATGTCCATTCTCATGCGATCTTACTTCGTATTCGCTTGGGCATATCTTTGGATTTTGGAATCTACCCCGTCTGTGGTAAAATCGTTTGAAAAAAATTGAAGAATATTTTTGAGATAATCTAAAAACTTATTTTCAAGCAATTTAGTATAAATTTTCTATAACTGAATAAGCGTTTTCTGAAAAAATTGACGCTTTTAAAAAATTCTGTGAGTTTTATTTTATTTTATTGTATACGGGCGAAAAATTTTAAATAGTCCACGTCATTGCCCTTGGAGCCGATATGAATTTATGGTCGATAGCTAATTTTAGATAGCTATCGTGAAAAATTATGTTGTGTTGGAGAGGATCAAGTTAGACGAGTGCTGATAAAAATTAAGCACGAAGGAATTAATGCCATATACATGTATAATTGAGTGTAGTAAATACATAGCTTGCTAGGCATGGTTGTAGCAAGTCAAATTAGTGCAAAATTTTAATTTCGCCCAATAGATTTCAACATTAACTAAGTATGTGATATTTTTTTTTTTTTAATTTTTTTTGCTGAAAACTATTAATTTAACATTTTGTCGACACATATTGATATTGTTGCAGAAGCGAAATGATGAACGCCATATATAAATGAAAATGAGTAAATTGCAATATGTCTTCTTTTCCTTTCGTTACAGGATATATCTATACTTATACCAGAACACTCGCGCTATATAACAAAATTCAGTTAAAGGTTTTTTTGGTCTTTATATCTCATTATTTTGTGAAAATTATAGATTTATACATATGTATGTAAGTTGAAAAACCAACAAGCAAATATTGCTATTAAAAAAAATTTGGAGAATATGTCAAGTGAATGGAGCTTCGCTCCATTGAGCTTTATGATCAAGTAAATATATTTTACAGGTCATCATCATCAGATGTGTCGAAACTAATTTTAAAATCATTGGACGTTACGCTTTTTCCTACTTTCCTCAATGTGGGCTGATAATCAATTAGCTGAACACTATCTGCCTTGCTTTCTAATTCTATCAAGGCAGAGAAAACATGAATGTTATTCAAAAATCTATAATTGTGTTACAATATACTTACTGTAAACTCCAAATTTAGCAAATATCGCAAATTTATTTACGTAAAGAGGAATGTGAGCGTGTGTGTGTACATTTACGAATCAAATAACTTCTAGT